GAGAGAGAGAGAGAGAGAGAGAGAGAGAGAGAGAGAGAGAGAGAGAGACTCAGGTTTTAATCATTTTAAAAGGTAAATTAGTTCCTACTTCCAACCGAGACTCCACTAACTGCCCATCCAGAACTCCTTGGCACAGAGGGAATGCCCTCTTTTCTTTGGGCCCAGAGATAGATGGCTTATCTTCAGGCCACACACACAGCTGTGCGTCCCTCTTTTTTTTTTTTTTTTTTTTTTTTAATTTGAAGACCAAATTCAAAACTTGGTCTGAGTGAGATAGTATCCATTTCATAATCTACAAACTAGTTTTTATTATGGCGAGAGTGGAGGTTTAAAACTGGACAATCCATGGGGCTGGAGAAATGGCTCAGTGGTTAAGAGCACTGGCTGCTCTTCCAGAGGACCTGGGTTCAATTCCCAGCACCCACATGGCAGCTCACAACTGTCTGTAACTCCAAGATCTGACGTCTTCACACAGTCATACATGCAGCAAAACACCAATGCACATAAAATAAGAATAAATTTAAAAAAAACCTGGACAATCCAGCCTAGTGTGATGGTACACACCTGTAAACTGGGGACTTGAGAAGCAGAAGCAGGAAGACCTGAAGTTGAAGGCTAGCCTGGGCTACCTAGACTCAGTCACACATGCGCACACACACACACACACAAAACTTGTATAATGCTTGTAGTGATGTGTTTGCTTTATCAAAATGTTCAGAGCTCTTAAAGGAGCTGACCAATTAGATGTGCGATTCCACTAAAATATTCGGGATTTAATTGAATTTGTAATCAATGTTTAAGTGATCTGACTTGTAAAATGTATAGAATCTTATTTGTTGGCTGTGTGTTTTTGTATTCAGTTTTTGCTTAAGTAGGTTTATGAAGTACACAGATTAAATAGTAAGTAAAGCCCGTGTGGCAATAGGTATTCCTTTGTAGGGACCAAAGCGCCTCAGATTTGGGGATGCTAAAAATAGAATCCAATGTCAGTTTGCACCCTGCCCCTCTTCCTGGCAGCTAATTTACACAGAGAACATGGGCCAATGAAGAATCCACTGTAGTCCTAAACCCACAGCCTCCATCCACACGTGGTCCTCAGTGGTCAAGCAGTTCTCTGGATCCTTTACCAGCTTCCGCCAGCTGCCAACAGCAGGGAGCCTCAGGTTCTGCTCCACTGAATGCAGACTGAGACCAGAGCCCCACCCTCCAACCACTCCCACGCTGGCCTTCCCCCCACATCTGCCTCTTCCTGTGCTGTACAGCTGACTTCACCTCCTGGTGAGGTAGGTGGCTGCCTCCACCCACCAGCGTGGACCCTGCTTCCTCTAAGCACACCCCTTGCCTTTTGCTCTTCCCTATGCCTTCCCTTCAGTATTTAGGATTAAGAGCTTGCGTCTCTCAAAACTAAAAGAGAAAAGGTTAGGTATGGGGGTGGCTGTAGCTCCAGGTAGCTAGCTATCCAGCTCTCTAAAGCTCTGAAGCCCTTAGCATCAACTTGCCTCCTCTTTAGGCCTTAATTTCATAATCTAGACATGTGACCAGTTGCTGGCCTGTTAGTCACTGGTGAAGTCTGCCTCTGCTGCTCCACCCACACTGCCCTGGCAGTCACCTCCCCTCCAATGTCACTACTGTCCCCAGACATCTAGTCCTGCTACCCAGGCTGTCCCTAAGGTCAGATCCTGTGGCCCATGTCCTCTTAACGGATGTCGCTGGAGTACTTTCTGAGCATGTCCCAGACCCTTTTTTAGACTCGCCTGCCACTTTTGTTCATTCCTTTGCTTGTTCTGAGGCAGTCTTACCAGGCGGGTGTCAAACTCGGCAATCCTCCTGCTTCAGCCTTCTGAGGTGCTAGGACTACAGGTGTGCACTACCATACTCTTACTCACTCTTAAACCGTGGTTTCTCTCCAGGCTCTTGTCCTACATTTCCTTGGCCTTAACACACTCCCAGCAGCACACGTGTCCATCCACAGTCTCCCCATTCTTAGACTTCCTGAGCAGAGTGGCTCTTCTGAGCAGACTCCCACATTCCACCTCTACTCAACCTGCTGAAACATGAATTACAGGCTTTACTCACCAAGTCTTTTCTCCCTCCCTGTTCACTTTGTAATTGGAACTTCCCTGTCACCCAAACTAGAAACCAGCTTTCCTCCCCAGGACTCCTTGTCACCCCACCCCAGCCACTGTTTCTGTCCAATGTTTTCCATCTCCCTGGTTAGCAACTAGCAATCTGTTAGCTAGATTTCTAGAAAAGCCCCGTTAATCTACGCCCCCCTCCCCCGCTGCCCCACCTCTAGTTCTCCTCAGCACCCAATGCTCTCTCCACCTGGGGACCGCCTCACTGCTCCATCACAGCATAAAGCCCTTGGAAACTTAGTGGGTGTCAGGATGGAATGCATAATCCTTAACACGTTGTGTGTGTGAGCTGTCTCACAGTCCAGCCGCTGCAGTCTCCACGGCTTCCGCGTTCATCACCTGCAAGAGCGTGAAGACATCAGAAATTGCGCCATTCAGCGGACACTCCTTAGGAAATGAAAGTGTAAGATTTAAGTCAAAACGTCATGGGCCCAAGAGAACTGTTCTAGGAGTCAACAGAAAAAAAAAAATCCAGACATTTAAAAAAAATATTTATTTTGATTTTATGTGCATGGGTATGTTGGCTGCATGAATGTCTGTGTACCATCTCTGTGTGCCTTGTATGTTCAGTGCCCACAGAGGCCAGAAGAAGGTGTCAGATCCCCTTAGAACTGGAGTTATGAATAGTTGTGAGCTGCCATGTAGGGCTGGGAATTGAACCCAGGTCCTCTGGATGAGCAGTTAGTACTCTTAACCACTGAGCCATCTCTCCAGTCCTCAGGATAAGTTTTACTCTGTGAAGCATCTTAATTGGGACCAAACTGAAATGGAGGCTTTTTTAGATTTTTAAATTTTATTTTATGTGTATAGGTGTTTGGGCTGCATGTCTGTATGTGCCCTACCTGCATACCTTGAGTCAGAAGAGAGTATCGGATCACTTGGAACTAGAGTTAGACAGCTATGAACTGCTATGTGGGTGCTGGGAACCAAATCTGGGTACCTTTCTCTGCAAGAACAGCAAATGATGTAACCACTGAGCCATCTCTCCAGTCCCAAAATGGAGAAATATTAACTAACCCTATACGATGCACTAATAAAATACAGAGAAACCATAGATTTCTAGGCATAGATTTCATAGGCATGGGGAGTAATTCCACAGCGAAGTAAAAAGGCTTGCATGAGACACAGCATGAACAACGGTTCCTGAGTGGCATCAGATAGTCATGCAGGCCCAGCCCCTCCTTTAGCTGCATGTGATCTTCCAGGAGTTCCCCTCACCTCTCTGTGCCCCATTTCCCCCATCTATACATCGGAGCTATTAACTGTATCAGGTTTGGAAAGCGCTTAGCCTAGTGCCTGGCAAACACTCAATCTATGTGAGTCCTTAGTGTATAAATTAGTAAATAGTCGGAAGAGCTGTGGGGTCGGTCCCAGGGTTCCTGGGCAACCTCCCAAAGCAGGCAGGATGTTTTGAGTTCTAGTGGCCCTTTACCTGTTACAATGTTTCTGTCTTCCAGGTGTGTTCAATTTTACAGTGAGCACACGTGTTTCGCCTAGGACGGTGGGGTGGTACAGAACTCACAGATGTTTATGTGAGTTTGGACCGTAGGATGGGAGGGCTGTATGGTTTGCATTAGACTGTCTATGTGGTGACTGTTTTAACCTCTTCTCTGCCGGAGATGAGAAAGCCCACCCACCCGAGCCCTAAATGAGAATGTGGCGGGTGGAAATGAGAGCAGCTGTGGCTGTAGGCTGACAGTGTCCACAGTACTTGACTGTGGGCAAACTTTACTGACTCTCCCAAAAATAAAGGGGATCTCAGCCAGGCATGGTGGACTGTGCCTGCAGTCTCAAAATTTGGGGTGTGGAATCAGAAGGTGAGGAATTCAAAGTCAGCCTTGGCTAGTTGGAGGCTAGCCTGGGCTGCAAGAAACCCTGTTTCAAAAAAGAAAAATAAATAGGAGACTCTCCAATCTCTACTAAAACCTTGTCAAGTATCTATAGGCAAAGAAAGTTCTTAGAAGCCAGTGTGGGTAAGAGTTGACCATTGCTTCAAGCTATCTGGAATAGAAAATGATAGGACTTTGGCTGCCAACCTTCCCAAATGGCCTTCCACTTCAGCATCCCTGATCTCTTGCTCTCGGGCCTGCACTAAGTAGAGACCTTTGCTTTTGCAGAAGGGGCTCTGGGATGACCTTCCTGAATACCACACAAATTGTAAGCCCAGGACTTTGCTCCACGGCTCTCATGGGCCTCATCTCAAACCACACTGTATTGTGTCTCACTCCAGGACCCCTGGAGCAGAGAGCTCCAGGACGGCTCTACCTCACTGCTCCAAGTCATTGAGGGACACATTGAAGGACAGGGCTGTGTCACTGTTGTCCTCCCTCACCTGACTCCGGGCTCCAATCGGACAGAGACCACGTCGGTCACTGTACCTGTCATCCTCTCCACTCCTAGACAGAACAAGGTACATAGCAGGTGTGCTTCAAATAGGAAATGGATGGAGGTCTCATGGGGGCTTGCACCTTCCTCCTGCACTCTGTAACCACGCCAGCACCAAGCAGAAGTCTGGGCATGTAGAAAAGGCAGCAGAAAGCCAAGGCCCTAAGTCAGGAAGCTTAGCCAAGAGTAAGGACTCTGAGCTGGAGGGGGAAGAACAAGGGTTCCAGGTACAAGAAGAGCAGTGAGCTATACCCCCACAGATGCCCCACCCACCTTACCCCCCAATTCTGGAAAACAAAACAAAACAAACAAAACATTGGTTCCACTTTAACTGATTTATTGAAAAATAGAATGAAAATCACTTGAAAGAGCACATGATAAAAACTGTACTTGACAGGAAGAGGGGTTTGAATACAGCCCTGGGGTGGGAGAGTGAGGCTGGCACACTAGACGAAGAGGTGGGAAAAGAGGCCCAGGTGAGGAAATACAGTACCTGCTAAAAACTCTACAGCTAACCCGCCAGCGTCTCGGGCGGCGCCCAACATTCCTTCCTGGGCAGGGTTGACAGCTGGATTGGCTGAAGAACAGCATCCAGGTCATTTATCTAGAAAAGTTGGGAAATGGCATCCAAGGGAATGGAGGTCCACAACCTGGAAGGATTCTCCCGCTTGAACCTGTTGCTAGAACTCCTGTCCGTGATGAACTGGAAGTCAGGAAGGTTCATCCGGGTCCCACCTCAGCCACCACCCAGCTGTATGACTTTGGACAAGTCATTTCCCCCTGTGGCCCTCATTCCTCTGCCGTGAAACAAGCTGGACTCAATGGCAACTTCTCTGGACCCGGCACTCCGTGATGTCCTGTCTGGCGACCTGCGCTGCGCTGGAAAACTGGATTGGCTCCTGAAGAAATGAGTCAGAGTGGCATGGTGCTGCCTTCCTCTGCAGACTGACAGACAGCTCAGCAGTGTGGACATGCAGAAGGGTGAGAAGCACTCATGTCTACGAGAGGCCCACGCCCACTGCGGGAGCGCCCATTGCAGGAGCACCCACTGCAGGAGCGCCCACAGCAGGAGCGCCCACGGCGCGGCTGGCTCTAAGGGAGCTCTACACAAAGGCATCTAAGGAGATGGGGACCATGCAGGCAGGAGAGGGCTGTAGGCTTTGGGGGCGGGGATGAGAAGAATAAGAGGTAAAAGCTACCCAGCACCTGGCCACGTGTCAAACTACCCACGCCAATGCCCTCCCCTCGAAGCAAAGCCTGGGCACCACTTGACCTAATAGAAGCAGCTCTTCTGGTAGAGGTGCCACACTTGGCACCGAGGTCCACGATTTCTGTGAGGTGATCACCATCACAGCAGGGGGCAGCCATCGTCTCCCTTAACTGGAATCAAATGAGGTAGGCCAACTTATCCCCTTCCACCCTCCCTTCCCCTTACACAGGTAGGTGCCATCGTCCTGGAGGCACACGAAGGCTAAAACCCTTTCTTGACAGCTGAGAAGGCAAAGGAAGCTGACTGGAGAGCCGCTGTGTGTCTGTCCCCCCCCCCCCCCCCCCCCCGCCACTCCACTGCCAGCATGTGTCTGTGCCACTGAAAACTCCAAGGGCAAAGGCTCACCAGACCCATAGTGTAAGAGGAGGCCCTCACATGAGAGCGAGCGGTGGTACCCACTGTGAAGTTCAGATCCACACTATTAAGTATACCAGGTTTAAGATATTGGGGGGAAGGGTGCACACACAAATATACGCCTACATGTGTATGAAGGGACAAGACGGCACTTGGGGAAGACTGTGAGCCTGGCCTACTTTCGTAAGGAGACTTTCTGCTCCCAAGTGTAAAACTGCCAGAGCCCACATATGACAACCTTTGGCAAGGTTTCCAAAAACCCTAAGCTGGGGATGTTTCCATAGGGACATTCATCCCAAGGTCAAGGTAATTCAGCAAAGCTTTATGAAGCAACTTCTCCACAAAAGGCACAACCGAGGGCCCCCAAAGAGCTAAGAGCATTTCTTAGAGGAGAGGGAGGCCCTAGCAGCAGAAACCGAGGACCCCTGGAGCAGAGAGCGCCACCTCACTGCTCCAAGTCGTTGAGGGGCACATTGAGGGGCAGGGCTGTGTCACTGTTGACAAAGCCCTTCATTAGACTGCTAGGATAGACACACCCCAGCTTCTCTGGGGTCGGGAAACCCCACACCCGGTAGAGGGATAGGCTCAACCGGTCCCCGATATAGAAGGGACCCACCCACTTGGCACTGCTGCCATTCTTGGGGAGAGACAACAAGAGGACCTGGTCACCCACATTCCACTCCTTCTCCTGGGTCTCCCTCTTGAGACGTCTGTTCTCAGCTTTTTCACTCGCTTTTTCCGCCACCCGCCAGTGGAGGTCCAAGAGCTCCCGCATCAGCCGCAGCAAGAAAGCATCCATCTTGAGCCCTTCAATGTTTGCACTGCTCAGCTCCCACCACAAGGGCTCCGTCAGCCTCATCTCATCCCCAGTCAGGACCTGGTATGGGGTGGCATCTGGGGTGGAGGCCCTAAAGGCCAGGTGCAGTAAGGGAAGGGAGCTTGCCCACTTTTTGCCATGCAGGAAGATGAACTCCTTCAGGGCCCTCTTGAATTCCCAGTAGGCCTCTGAACTCATCAAACAGGGGAACTGGAGGGCCCTACTCAGCGTGGTCACCTGGGCTCCCAGGGCCAGCCCACAGCTCACCAGGACATGCCGGGCAAACTGGGGACCTTGGGCTGCCTCCAGCCTTAGGGGCACACCCCATCTTGCAAACACGTGCTGCAGTAGCACCTGGGCCACAGCCATGTGCGTATAGGGCTTCAGAGGGAACGCCTCCACCCACCGGGTATTGGCATCTGCCACAATGAGCACGTGCTTATGACCCTCCTCACTCGCAGTGACCGGACCCACCACCTCGATCTGCAGACTTGACCAGGGAGCCGTTGACCTGAGAGGCAACGGAGACTCAATTACTTTCAACTCACCACCTACGAGATTACGGGGAATGCAAAACAAACAGCTTCTGCAATAATCCCTCACATGCTCCTTGATCCCAGGCCACCATCCCAGCAACCGCAACTTCTTGTAAGTCTCCTCCAGCCTCTGGTGCCCCCCCAAGGGGATGTCATGCACAGAAAAAATCAGCTCCCTCCGAAGTTGCCTTGGGACTACCCAGACCCTGGGATGTTTTTCCCCCTTGAACATAAGCAGGCCAGTGTCTTTGTCGAGGCTGAGGGAATGAAAGGCGGAACTGAACGGCGACGACCCGGGCAATTTCTGCCCCGTCTGCAGCTTGGTGATGACATCAGCCAAGGTGCCGTCACTCAGCTGTAAGGTCAGCAAGTTAGGCTTCCTGCCTTTAGTATGGGGGGTCACCATGGGTGCTGGCACATCCTTCGGCAAATCCCACCACTGCCCGCCCCCTTGGGCACCCTGCTTGGCCAAATTATCCACTGTCACAGCAAATAGAGAGCCCCGGTAAGAGGTGCGGTAGATAAAGGGAAGGGACGAGAAGCCGGAAGTGAGAGACAGAATATAGGAGAGCAAGCTTGGATGAGGTAGCGAAGCCCCGTCGGATGAGAGGAAGCCCCGGGCTTTCCAGAGTGGCAGGAGCTCCCAGAGGACGCTGAAGATCCAGTTGCAGTGGGTGAGGAAAACCACCGGCTGGTGGGCCTGGCCAAAGCGCTCTAGGCCACAGGCCACAGCTGCCAGGTGGGCATAGGTGAGTGTATAAGGGGAACAGGAAAAGGTGAGCGAGACCGGGGGGCTGGTGGGAGACAAGATGTAGAGACCAAAGCCAGCACACAGCTCGTCGTCACGGTAGAAGCAATAGCCAGATATATGGATGCAGATAAAAGTAGACAGGTCAGTCAAAGGAGGCAGAAGCTGGAAAACGCGAGGCATCGAGGCAGCCGGTGTCAGCAGCTGGTTTTCCCCCAGCAGGCCCTGGAGAAGGGCCAATTCCAATTCCCGCTTGCCTTTGTCCTGCACCAAGAGAGACCAGCGAATCAACCAGGCTTTGGAAACCTTACGGCTTTCCCACGCCTCATTGTCCGCCGTGGTCCGGGCGGCATAGGAAAGACGCAGAACCACTGGGTTGTCTCCAATGCACTGGGAGAAGTGTTTGAGGGCCCAAGCCACAGCATAGGGGCTGTCCCCGCCTGACTGAGGACCCTCACTGTCCTCATCGGGGAGGAGAGGTTTCGAAGTATAAGCGATGGAGTGCTTCCTTCCAGAGTGTTCCTGCTGCAGGATGGCCGTCAGTGACACCTGGCTGACGGTCACTTCCAGGTAGAAGGGCAGAAGGGAGTTGGGGGTTGACAGGCAGAGGGCGGACACTAAGGCCCGTTTCAGGGCCAGGAAGGCCTTCTCGTGCTCCTGGTTCCACTGCCAGTCTGGCTTCTGCTTGAAGAGGCTGTGCAGGGGACCCACGAGGGCTTCATAGTCAGGAATTGCATCCCGGTGGGAATCCATAAAGCCCATAAAAAAAGACAGGGCGGTGAAGTTGCTAGGGATGGTGAGCTGAGCAAGCTGGGCGAGAACTTGTTGAGAGGGAGCCTTTCCATCCCAGGGGACATCCAGGTAGGGGGAGGATACCACTGGCAGAAGGTCAATGTCTAAAGCCCCCTCAGAGGGGTCATGCAGGCTGAGAGACCGGAGGATTTCCTCAGGAAAGGCAAGGCATTCGACGCCAAACGCCGACCCCAGGGAAGAGCCGTGGTCATCTTGCTCCTCAGGCTTTGATAGTTCTGGCTCCTCCATCAGCTCCTCGTCCAGGCTTTCCTCCCTCTTCTCCCTGACGGCTTCCCCATTCTGGGGAGCCACCAACGGCTCAGGATCAGCATCGTCACTCAGCTCTGAGATACTGGCTGAGCTGGGAGGAAGGGTCTTCCACACCTTCAAGAAATTGCCGATGTCCATGTCCAACCTATTAAGAAGGAGAGGGGGCAGCCCCACCCCCACAGATTATCCGTGGGGAAAGCCACATGTGTGGTCCCCCCACAGAAACCCACCTCACTCCTAGGAGTCCTTCGTACATGGCAGGGATCAGCCAGGAGCCAGCCCATAACTACTTGCTCTCCAGCTTAACACGTGCTAGAACTTCAACAAGGATTCTTCTGTGCTTTGAAAGTTTATCAAGCCAAAACCTTACTGACTGTGATGGTCACTTTGAATCGCCAGCTTGGCACAATCGAGAATCAACTAAGAAGGCAGGCCCAGTGAAGGGCTGTGTGGATCGGGTAGCCTGGAGGCAGATCTGCGAGGGATCATCTTGATGACCCTCCCACCCTGGGTGGTGCCATCCCCTAGGCAGAGGCTCCTAGACTGTGCCAAGCGGACAAAGTGAGCTGAGCACTAGCAAGCACACATCCATTGCTGTCTTCTGACTGCAGACACGATGTGGACCAGTTCTTCCCAAGCTCCTGCCCCTGTGACTCCCCACAGTGTGAACCTTTCTCATTAAGTTGCTTTTGCCGGGGTATTTTATCACAACGACAGGTGACAAAGCTACATAGACTAAGACCGTGAAGCATTTAAATTAGTTTTGAGTCAATGGCTTGATAAGAGATGACTGGCAGCTTCCGCTCTTACCCCAGGATGAACCTTCCAGGGGAAGGTCAACCCTGGAGGGGAGGCCTGGCACACAATGGAGAAACCTCGGCTTCATTTCCACACACTGATGAAATGGCGGGTAGGAGACAAACTGATGAACTGGGGGTGGGGGGGTGTGGAGAGGTGGCCTAGGAAGCACTGCCCTGTCCACAGGTCCCAACCACGTTCCCCCGAAGGTCTCAGAACACTGGGGGCAGGGGGACAGCAAATGTGGCCCAAGGCACATAGAAGCCAGAGGATCCGAGATGCTACAAACCAGTTCCGCCAAAATGACCTTGAAAAGGTCACTTGAGCCTCCGATTCCTCGTCTACGAAATGAGGAATATGGTCATTTCCATCTAACTCAGATTGCAAGGACCAACGGAGATAATGAACATGACAGCACGTGTGTACACACAGCTCTCTTGGACACAACGAAAGAAAAAAAAGTTGCTGTCACACATCACCAGGAGCATAAAGCAAAAACACTCAAATGGCCGCAAACAGAGAAGAGATTCTTCTGCGTGGAGTGGAATGCTACCTGGCTGCAACAGTGCACCACACGAATTTGCACGGTGTAGGTCTGAAGACAGCAAGAAAAGATTAAGCGCAAATGCCAGTTGTGGCGAAATACATAAAAAGGTGTGTGTGAAATGTTAAAATCATAATATGAATAGTGGATAGAAGCATCAAAATGTGGCGGATATATAAAGATATAAAACGGTCCAACCACTCTGTTTGCTCGATAAATGGTGGCTAACACCAAGAGGAGCTTCTGGTCAGTCCCGGGAACGTCTGGGAGGTAGAGAAGACCTGAGAAATTACCTGTTCGGCTTCTTCAGAAATTCATCCAAGGTGGGGCCATCACGGCCCAGGGGGTCATCTGGTACCATGAAGAGATTCCCCGCAAAGGTGAAGGGCAGCAGGCTAGACCCACAAGAGAAAGGGGCAAGAACATTGTTGAGCCCAAGATTCAGCCACACTCTCTCGCCTCCACAGGGGCTGAGACTCCCCATTTACCAGCAGGTACTGGAGAGCCCTGTCCTAAGGCTCCTCTTCCTGACCCAGCATCTCTTTCTGCCACGGGCTGCCTGACATCACTGAGAAATAGGGGCACAAGTCCCAAGGAATGTCTCACCGATCTCTGATCATCACTTTCTTGGAATTATTCATTAGGATGTGAATCTGCTCGTTAGTGAGGATGATTCCGTCTGTCTCCTCTGCCAGCTTTACCATGAACCTGTGAGGGAAAAGGAAACCACTAACCATCTAGGAACTACCCTCTCACTTTCTGGACCCTCTGGAAAATGAGCTAGAACTCCCCAGTGGGCCAGACAGAGACTCGACCCTCTGTAATCAAGACAAGGCTCTACAGCATATCCTCTCTTCCATGTGGCCATCTGGGATCCCAGCATCCCCCAGAAGGTGTACCTGGTTGCACAGACCCCCAAGCGTGTATACAAGCACACACTCCTCCCAAACACACAGGCTCACGCAACACAGAACCCATCCTCTGGTTCGCATTCATGCACAGGTATTTTCTGCTCCCATTTCTGCATCTGTAAAATGTAGATAAAATACCCACCCCACATTGCTGCAATAATTAAACCGAGGTGATGTTTACGTGTCTAATTCAGCGCCTAGCACACAGCGCACAATATTCTTCATCAAAGCACAATACTCACATTTGTGCCAACGTGTACATCCACATATATACTAACACATAAAATCACGAGACTTAATAAACAAATCCATTCTTCTGAGGATCACTCTCCTTCTAAGGAGGGCTGTGACCAGGAAAAAGAGCTACCTACCTCCTCAGCATTCCCTGGAATGTTCACATGCTGTTCCCCAAGTGCCCAGCAGAGGGCTCTTCTACAAAAAAAGCCATTTCCCCTTAAACCTTTGCCTTGGCTGCATTTGGAGGATTTAACAAACTCACCCAGGACTCAGCTCTGGAAGCTTGGGAGGCTGGAGCGGCCCTGCCCCAGCCCTTCACAACCTTGAAGGCCGGGTAGATTGTGGGGAACACAGGGAAGAAACAGAACCTCTCCCCACCCAGCATTCGAGGTGCCCAAGTGAAGCCAAGAACAGTTGGCTGAGCATCTGGCCTAGGACTATGGCAGGGCCTTGCTCACCTGCCCTAGGTCAGGCAGGGTCACAGACTCCCCTACACACAACAGTGCTATAGCCATGCTAGACAATGAATGCTGAGGGGATGTCAATGTTTAGGCAAACCAGGTCCATCTAACCGCATTTCCAGAGCCTTGCCCAAGGATCCATCTACATGCGGTCACATACACCGCCTCCCAGCATCCGAGCTTGGGAAGGGAAGATTGAAGGCATTCCTTGAGATATGAACTTTAACCCAAACTGGCGCCAGAAAGCCTAGGGTACCACTGCCACTTATTTGAAGGATGAGGCTCATCCTATCCAAGGCGATGAGCCTGGGCCGACAGGCCATGCTGGAGGAAAGCACAGCACCAGAGTTCCAAAGATGTCGGCGACCTTGTGCTTGGGAAGAGCCAACCTTCAGCCATCTCATTTGTGCGCCAATACCTCCTCTCGGACATGGCATTTGCCTCCATTTCCCCCCTGGGAAGATGAGACGGGACACCATCTGAGACCACCCCGAGCCCCACAGAGGGACCTGGGGCATGGCGCACCTGTAATCATAGGTGGTGATCTTCTTGCCATTTTCCAGCTGGGAGGGAGTGATTGAAAGCATCTTGAGTGCGTGGAGCTGCGTCAGAAAGTGGCTCTCTGGGGGTGACAGAACACAGAGTCAGCAGGAGGGCTGAGTGAGAACGGGCAGGGGGGGGGGTGGAAAAACAGGGCAGAAAGACAAGGGGGAGAAAAGCCCGGTGGTGCTGGAAGGGCTGGCAGCAGCGGGCACCTCACCTCTCACCCTCCGGGTCTTCTTCAGCTGCCAGGTGGGCACAAACACGGTGACCTCTCGGTGTCCTCGATTCCAGAAATACTGCACCGCCATGGCGATGCCCCGACAAGAGAAGAAGTGCTGGAGGCCGTGCCTGTGGGGCAGTGGAAGAGAAGGAACTCCTTCTAGAAGGCCACGCCTCACCACTCATCCCCTCACGCCGGGGGCCCAAGCAGGTAATGTCCCGAGAGTGCCAAGGATGCCAGCAATACCCTCCCCCATCCACTTCCTGGCATTCCCCTCCTCCCCTCTGAGACAAGGTCTCTCTATGAAGTCCTAGTTGTCCTGGATGGAGCTTGCTATGTAGACAAGGCTGGTCTGGAACTCAAAGAAATCCTCCTGCCTCTGCCTCCCGAACACTGGGATTAAATGTGGATGCGCCGCCACACCTGGCCTGCAGCCTCACTGCGCACACGCCTTGCCATGTGGTAGCCATTCAATACATGCCAGTGCCCTCATCTTTTGTTACCCATATGAGGTCAGGAAGGAATACTTGCCCAGCTCCACACACACACCCCCACCCCTACCCCCAACCCTGCACACCCAGTCCTTGGCTACTCACACCATGGCCACGCTGCTACCGTCGATGACCACTCTCCGCAGCCCCGGATTCCCAGGCTCCTCGGACAAGTTCAACTCGAAGGGTGTGTCCAAGGCCTCGTGGTACCTCTGGAAGCTGGTCACTGTGCTGCTGGCCTGTGGGTGGTGAGGTGACTGCCTCTGGGCTTCCTCCCAAGCCCCAAGAATTCCTTCCTTCAGGAATTGATGTTTATTTCTGGAGGCCACGGGGCTACTGGCCTGCAGCGCCTGCCTCCCAGCCTTTCCCTGGCCCTTCGGCGGCGTGGCAGCTCTACTGTTTGAAGCCTGGGCCTCACTCGGGAGTTGGACTGCATCCGAGGCCGGTCCTGCAACCGTGGACCCCGTCTGGGCTGCAGACTTTTTAGATGCTCCGGAGGCTTTAGAAGCTCCGGGTGTTTTGGTGGTCGAGGGTGTGTTGGGAGTCGCAGAACCTGCTTTAGCAGCATTTCCAGTTTGAACTTTGGGGGCTTGGGGACCTGCAGGGGTTCTGACTGAAGGCATGTTCTGAGCTGTAGGAGTCTGGGGAGTTGTGGGCGCCGCAGGAGCTGCTGGTTGACCCGCCGCCGCCACCGCCGCCGCCGCCGCTGCTTTTTGGGCTGTGGGCGCCACAGGAGCTGCTGGATGATCCGCTGCTGCTTTGGGGGCTGTGGATGCCGCAGGAGCTGCTGGTTGACCCACCGCCGCTGCTTTTTGGGCTGTGAGCGCCACAGGAGCTGCTGGTTGACCCTCCGTTGGTTTTGGGGCAGTGGGTGCCACAGGAACTGCTGATGTTGGTGGAGCAGGAGGCACTGTGGGAGCCGGAGGCTCTGCGTACACTGCTGACTTCTTTAGGGCAGGAGGCCCTTTGGGAGCAGCAGGCAGCCCTTCCTCGGCGGGTGGGTGTTCAGCTTTGGACACTGCTGTAGCCACGGGCGTTTCAAGAGTTTCAGACACGGTTGGAGCTTTGGGTGCTGACTGGCCTGTCATCCCCGCTTGAGCCACTGGCCTCTCTTGAGCTGCGGGTCCCCTCTGTTCGGTGGGCAGTGCTGACGAGGACAACTTCTCTAGGCCTCTACAATCCGACGGGGCACTTCTTTCATCTTCCTGCTCGACTGCATCCTGGGGTATAGATGTCAAGGATGGCCCTGCTTGTGGAAGTCCTGAGCTAACACCCTCTTTGATGGCACGATCCGCTGGCACCACCGATAAACAGACGGCTTCTGGGGGGTCCTCTGGCCTCGGGTTATGCTCTAGGGCTGTCTCCTTTCCTAGCTCCCCATCTTCTCTACAAGGCTGGTTTTCTATACTGGGAAGAGGAGTCAGCTCTTTCGGTTTCCACTCCAGGTTTAAGGGCAAAGGACTCTGTCCTGGCAGCCTCAGCTGAATGGGGCCCATGGGTCTCTGCCAGAACGGCAAACTGAAGCAAGCCTGGGATAGGAGCCAGGCCAGGTGAAGGGAATGTAGCTCATTGATCTTTCTGAAAGTCGCTGCAATGGTCCCTGGCCACAACAGCCTAAAGGCTGGCCTCGGGGCCCGGGACTTCCAGGATGGACACACACTCAAAGCCGACACTGGTGACTGCAATGAGATTCTTCTATCTTCCATCCTCTGTACCTGCCTTTGCGGCAAGAGGGCTTGTGTGGGATTTGCAGAGACCTGGCTGCTGATGACCTGCACAATGGGCCCTTCCTCTTGAGCACGGTTCACCTCACCTTGCTTGTTGGAACGGATCCTGGAAAAAGGCCAAGTTTGTTAAAAAAGTGAGAAAGGTAGTTTGGTTACTATTTCCTTGGGATCATGAGTAGGGGCAGGGGTGGAGAAGACCCATGCTCCAGTACTTACTGTACTAGCTGGCATTCTGTCTCCAGCTCAGTGCTCCGGGCTGGCATCAGGGATCCAGCCGCTCCCACACTAGTTAACCTCTTTGAATTTTCTGAAGCCTGATTGAAGGTTCCTATCTCTAGGAAGGGTTCAGGGCTCTCTCCTATGGTCACCAGGGATGAGCCTTCCTTCTGCTGCTGGGCGGGGGAGATCAGCACCTCTGGGATGGAGCAGGTACTGGAGATGCCAGAGCGGCCCAGCCACTCGATGATGTCTTCCTTGCCAGCGGCATCTCGGACCAGGCGGAGGAGCAGCTCCTGGACCGCGGGGGGAAGCTGCAGCAGGTCTCCCGCATACTTGTCACCACGGATCCACACCAGGGCCCCAAAAGCCCGGGTCACCTCTGTCTCCCAACCCCCCCGGGGGGTGACCATAGGGACAGACCCCCAGCGCAGCCGGGCCACCAGCTCCTCCAGCCAGTTCTGTGTCATGGTGAAAGACTCAGTCAGCCCACCCACCATCAGGGAGCCAGGGGGACCAGGCACCAGGTAAGCCAGAGTACTCCAGCAGAGGCAGTCCAGGAACAAGCCTTGTGCCCCAAGGAAGGCGCAGTGCAGGACCGGTGGATAGCGGACCTCCTTCCACAGCTCTGGGTTGCACAGACCCTTCAGATATTCCTGGGCAGAAAGGAGAAACAAAGGGAGCCATTTGTGAGCGGCGGCTCACCCTAGTCTGTCCTCTGCCCCTCAAAGGCCAACCCCTTGCTAAGCTTAATCCTCCCACAGCTGACACCGCCACCTGCCTCCGCCCCCTCTTTCCAGGGAACGGTGACAGAATGAAGGAGACTCAGAGGAAAGACGAGAAAAGATCCAAGTGTGGCATCAAGAGACCTCACACTAGCTCTGACTTGGCCTTACTCGACGGGGAAGGATTGTAGGAAATGTGCCACCTTCTCAGGACCTCGGCCTCTTCACCTATAGCATGGCAGGTTTAAACTAGATATGCTTGGGTTCTGGCCCCCCTTGGCACTGCGGAGCTGCGTGGCACCTTGGGGGAAGGGAGCTACACACTATTTATTACTCTCATATGCTGAGAACGTGGTCAGCCTCGGGCAAGTTAATAATTCCCTCCTCCCATCGGTGTCTCCCGTCCATCCCTGCCTCATCAGTCAAGCATCGGTGAGCTCAGTGGGCTTTGCTTACTTAGGATGGTGCCTGGCATGGCCTGTTCCCATTCTCCCATCTCGTAAGAGCTTGCCCAAGTGCACACGGCTCCACCGCGTCTGCACTGGATCACAGTCTATGTCTACCTGGCTAAAAGCAGAGCTCTCTGCACCTCCTCTGGCTGACGACACATGACTTCCAGGTAACCCTGTAGGATTCTGCCTTAATCCCCTTCCAGAAGCTCTCAGGCACAACCTGTACCCGTAACCATGGTAACTGTTGCCTGGTGATGTAGATAAGTTGCTGGGGCCAGTGTCCAGAGGACTCTCTCTCTCTCTCTCTCTCTCTCTCTCTCTCTCTCTC